GGCACCTGGCCAGATGACCACGAATGCTCATACAGCCAGGCCAAGGGCTCTGTGATGACCCCTGCCAGCTCCCTCAACACCCTGGGGTGGAAGGCATCTGGACCTGCAGATTTAAAAATGTCTAGCCCTTCCAGAAGATCCCTAACTACATCTGCACTGACTGAAGGCCTGACAGAGCTATCCCTGAGATTGTCCCTACCTTTGGTAGGTGGGATGTCCTGGTCCCTGTTCCAGAAAACAGAGGCAAAGAAACTGTTAAAAATATCAGCTTTCTTGTCTGGCATAGCCACAAGATTACCGTTTGCATCTTGCAGGGGCCCTACATTGTCCAGTGCCCTCTTCTTGCTCCCAATGTACTTGAAAAAGGACTTTTTGTTGTCCTTGGTCCTGGATGCTAGTCTGAGTTCCATCTCTACTTTGGCCTTCCTAATAGCCCTCCTACACTCACGGGCCAAGGAGGAGTACTCCTCCTTGGTGATAGCTCCTCCCTTCCACTGGTTGTACACCACCCTTTCAGTCCTCAGGCATTACTGAATGCCGTTGCTGAGCCAAGGGGGTTTCTGAGCACTCTTACCCCCCCCCCTTGCTTCTCTCAGGGACTGTTATCCTTTGGGCCTGGAGGATTGCCCCCTTAAGGTATGACCATCCCTCGTGGACTCCCATCTCCTCTACCTTCTGGGCCCTCAGTGCCTCACCACTGAGTCTCCTAAGCTCATTGAAGCTGGCCCTTCTGAAGTCAAGGGCTTTAGCCTTAGTGTAAGCCCTTGACACCCTGCATTTGATAGTGAAATCGAGCAGGTGATGATTGCTATTGCCCAGGTGGTCAAGGACCTGCAGTCCCCTCACCAGATCATCCCCCATGGCCAGGACCAGGTCCAGCAAGGCATTACGCCTAGTGGGGCTGTGCACTGCCTGGATAAGGTAAAGGTCCTGTAATATAGCCAGGAACCTACACGAGTGGTCAGACCTGGCTGTCTGCTTCTCCCAGCAAATGTCTGGGTAATTTAGGTCACCCATGACATTAACATCCCTTGACCTAACCACCTCTGTAAGCTGACTGGAGAAGTCCTGGTCCAGCTCTTCCCCCTGGTTGGGTGGTCGGTAGTAGACACCTACCATAAGGTCCCTTTCACCATGCCCTCCTTGTAGATTGACCCACAGTGTCTCCGCCCAACCCTCCTCTAACCCGAAGCTAATCCTTGATGATGTGAGGTGCTCTTTGACATAGAGTGCAACCCCTGCCACCCCCGCCTTTCTTCTCTGTCCTGTCCCTTCTATATAGGGTGTAGCCCCGAATGCCCACTGCCCAGTCATGGGTGGGAAAAGGGATCTCAGAGTCATTATTGACTCCAAGATGGACATGAGCCGCCAATGCCAGACTGCAGCCAGCAAGACCAGCCATACCTTGTTGTCGTGGAAACACACGCAGCATACTTTTGGGTCAGGTCAGCAGAAGCTTTTATTTAAAAGAAACTACAGCTGTAGGGGGGGATTCCAAAGTGACATGGATTTCCCAAGCACTTGGAAGGGGTCCCCCCCAAGAGCAAAATCAGGAGGCTTATATACTTTTTAACAGTTGCTTACAACTCACGTGGTCATATAGTGAAATTAGCATGAAAGGCGGCTATAATATTACTTCATTATTTCTTTGCTGTAATCAGGATGGGAACTAATGGGGGAGGCGAGGTTAGTTCACAAACCTCCTTCTTGCACCTGGAAATCAGATTTGTACATACTTTTTTTGCTATCTTCAAGGCCGCGGTGAGCGAAGCAGTTGCAGAGGAGTTACAAAGAACAAACACTTTCTCTTATCTGTTCTACTGTACAGAGCCAGCAATTCTCCACAAAGCGGTTATGTCATCTTGTAACTAAAATAATCAAAGTTTAAGGCGCATATTTTTTTTTTTTTTTTTTCTGATTCCACACCACCTACTCCCATTTTGTTGATGCTTCCCTTCCTCTTGTCACCCTGCATGCTGGTGAAGCATCCTCTCCACTCAAAGCGGCCCCTTCCTCCAGGGAAGCTAATTTAAAGCCTGCCATACGAGATCAGCCAACCTACAGTACAGTTGTTCCCATACTGTAAGATGGGAGAATAATAAGTGACATTTAGGAAGTACTTCTGTTAGAAAATTCCAGTTCATTAAAATTGAAGCTGTTCATGCTGACATACTGGTTTCAGCAAAAAGATTTCCCAGGTCCAGGATGGAATTTCTGGTCAAACACAGTGAAACTGCTAAACATCTCCCATGTATTGTGGTGGTCTGGGCACTCATCTGGGATGTTCTCTTAGTGAACTGGACAAACCTCTCAGGTGCCTGGCTGACAGATAACCCACATACTCCCAGTCAAACCAATCACTAAATATGGGGTCAGAAAGCAATTTTCCCTGAAGCAGATTGCCGCTAAATCTTTCTTTCTTTCTTTCTTTCTTATTTTTTTTTCTTCCTCTATAACATAGGGCATTATTCATTTTCTAGAATCGTTTGGGCGTATTTGATATAACCAGTTTCCTGCCATTACATGGCTTCAAGATATAGGTGATGTCCTTGATTTCTCCTGTGCTCTTCCTGGGGTATGTTGTCATTTTGAGGTCTTTGCTTATTTTCTACTAAGGTTCTCAGTTTGGTAAGGTGCTGGGAAAGCATTATAACTTATGCTGCAGGTGGAATGGATATTTTTATGGATCCTTTTGGACTGGTGGTCCAATCCAGCTCATTCTCCCAAGGAGGGAGATCCAAATTGACAGATAATTTTGTAGCTATCAGGTGTATCTGTAGGCATCTTAATTGTGATGAACCTAGAGCTAATCAGCATGAATGATGCGTACAGGTCTGAATACCTACTTGTACTTGGATCTTAGTCAGGGCTCCAAAGGAGCCATCTCCATCATCTTGGAGGAATTAAATAGAAATCAGAACACCCACATTTGACTTTTTCATTGTTATAGGCTTCTTCATCTCCAATTCTTCTGTGTAAAATCAACCTCTATTTGTATAGAACTATGGCAGCACCTGCTCTATCAGGCCTGTCTTGGAAATTGCCCTCTCTTTCCTTCATTGTCACTTTCTTTTTACTTTGTTTCACTCTGAAAGGTTATGCTCATTTGTCTTCTTCATTCCTGGACAAGATGAAACTAAAGGGTAAGTGATACATCACTATAGATCCTATAAAACTAATTTGCCTGGTATATGCCAACTCTGGGGTGTCCAAGTACAAGTCTGCGAAGATGTGGAGATATTGGGCACTGTGGGCAAAGTAAACACATCTGTCAGGATGCTACGGGATCTTTATTATCTTGTAAATCATGGGTTGGCAAACTGTAACCTACAGGACAGATCTGGCCCATGGAGCCATGACTTGGACAGCATTTGGCAGTGGTAGTGGGGAGGCGCTCTCTGTGCTGTGGTGCAGTCAGCTGCCTGGATTCTGGTCAGGGGGAGCTGTCCTTGCACCATACCACCCTGTGGCATGGGATATTGCAGCTCACCAGCAGGGAGAAGCAGTAGTAGCATTTGAATCGCAATGCCAACCCACCTCTGATTTGAGCTGGGTCATTCTAGCCTATCTGCCAAAAATGCCTGTTGTATCAAAGCAAACATTTAAATTGCAAAAACCCAATTGTAAACATAGAAAAACAGGGCCATTGCCAATTCTAGCCTGTGCCTTAACTTAGTCTAGATTGTGACAACAAAAGGGAGGATAGCTTTCATTTCAGTGGCTGAAGTGAGAACTCCAAGGAGTGTGTTGTGATAGGTGTAGAAATAATTGTCTACTTACCATCGTCTACCATGGGGATTTCATTGCTACTTGAGCATTTTGCTGGTGAGAAAATTTGTCTCTAGGAACACAGCTACGTGTGTATAATTCAACACTAGAAAATGAACTGTGAACCTGATGTTGTGGGAAATCTTGGATGCAGGTAAAGCCTGATTGTAGAGACTCAGGAGAAAATAACTTGTGCTGCTGGGAGGAATAACAGCCTGGTACAAGGTGGGTGGAGGGAAAGGGGCATGGGTAACAAGAAGAACATTGTATTGATATTTAGAAGTGGGCATCTTAGAGCAGATAAATCAAATGTGCTTTGCCAGCCAGTCTCTTCACAGCAAAAGAGTCTTAAAGGCATATGTAAATCTCTTGGCGTTTCCTCACACTAGAGCTTATGCTAAAATCACTATTTGTTGTAGACATGGGTGAGATGTGTTTATGACTATGTCAATAACAAGCTGAACCAATGAGCAGAAAGCAACTTCTGTAATTTACCCAAGTATAATATACTTCCTGGAGCTCACAAGCTTCTCCCATAGGGTCAAAGGTAAGAGAATATTTCTCCTAACATTCCTGGATTGTTTTAAACCACTCAAAGCATTGAATTTAAGTGCCAGCTGGAGATTCTGTCCTAATGTACTTGAGATTAATAATAATAGTATCATCAACTAGTTTTATTGAACTAATAGTTCTGGAGATCATGTTCCTGCTGTAGCAGTTAAGATAATAAATTACTGCTTTTATTAGCCCAATTAGGAATATTCTGTTTTGCTCTCATTAGGAATAATTCCAAGGTCTAACCTTCCATCAGATAGAGGTCAGGTTGCAATCATTCAAATTCAGTAAGAATGTTGGGCACAATTCAATATATGCTGGTTTTCATTATGAACATGAGGCCTACTTGGTAGGAAAGACATTGCAATGAAGGTAGTAGATAAGCCATCATTCCTTTTGAAGGTTCCAGTGTCTACAGCTAGGTACAGACATTACACTTTTTTACTGACATAAGTGATCAGAAACTAGTCTATACCTGTAACAGAACACAAGTTTGGCACACAAAACTGGTCTATACCCGTAATAGAACAGTAGTTGGACACACACAGGCTAGTTTAAAAACTGTGGAACCTGGTCTAAATTCCTCCCCCCTCCCTACCCGACACGCACACAAAGGACAAATATGGTTCTATTCACTACCAATCTAAACTGTACTGCTTACAGAAAGCAGTGTAACTTAGATTCTGGCACAGGCTTTTTGAATGTGTGAACCTAGCTTTGGAGTTCAAGCTGCTTAGCTGGAGTTAGCATCTTGGTAAAGATCTAGCCAATGCTTCTGCCAGGACAACTTTGCCTTTGAGTAGGGGTTGGGGGTCAGCTAACCACTTGCCTGACCTTTAATTCCCTTTACAGGGGCCACTAACATTTCTAGCAACACTAATCAACTTCTCTAATATTTGAAAGCAGCTTGCTAAATAATGCATTATAGGAAAGGATACCCCATGCCTTCTTGCCCTCTAGTTCCTGTGTGGTGTTTCTAGGAACATTCCTCTATTGGCACAATTCACGGGAAGATTAGGTACTCTTTACTGCAGAATGGTCTTTTCTATTTGCTAGAGTTTGTTCTTATTGGCAAGCAGCATCAATGTCCTCAGAGAAGACTGGTATTCTGGTCTGGGTGGTATAAACTGCTGTCTTTGAAGAAATGATGAAGAAATTAGTATGTGCTCTAGCTGTACCTGGTAATTTTTAGAGTTACAATAAAAATATAATGCTGCTAAAGGTCTCTAACTATCTCCTGGAGCATCCCTTCTCTCCCTACTTACCTTCCATAATAAACAGTGCAAGGGAGTGCTCAAGCTAGGGCTCATGTTGGCGTCTCATCGAATCATGAGACATGTCTTTTTGGGACTGTGAAACACTTATGTTACCTTCTATTACCTGTGCAATAAAGATGCATAAGCATATCCACATATAGTGTGCATGTTCAATATTTTGGGCAAATATAGATGCCTACACAGCTGGGTAGGTATACAGCTGCAAATATACAGCCAGGTAGAAATTTATTTCCCTTTTGCAATTCCAAGTGAAAGTGTTTTAGTTGTACAAGTGCCAAAAATGCCACTTATGTTCAGGTACGAATTCTATTTCCCTGTCAGTGTGGACATGTATGCACATGCATACAGACTGAGAATGTGCAATAAACAATTCACTGGCTAGGCTGGTATATGGTTACATACATATGCCCCTTGTGGATGTGTAACAGCATCTGAGACAAAAATGTAGATGGCTAGAAGGGTATGACTACTGGGTGTTAAACTCCACAGAGCCCTCCTATGTCCAGTCTCCAGTAGCTGAGTGCTTAGGACACTTACCCTGGAATCCATAGGGCTTGTGTAGATGAAATGGGGGCCCTAAATTGAAGTGGTGGGTTTTTAAAAACACTGCTTCAATTTAGGGTGAAGTAAACCCCTGTGTCGTGTACACCCATGTCTTACCTGCCTCTCCAGCAGTGAGGAGGGGAGGGTGAGCTGCCAGCGGACGAAACAGTCTCTGGGCTGTGGCAGGGAGAGGGGGAGACTGGTGCTCCCTCTGTAGCTGTGGTGCCTGCCCCCTGCCCCCCCCAGGCAGTGCTTGCCTGCAGGCACCCGGCTCGAGTGGTCCCAGAGGGCACTGCAGCCATGGAGAGAAGGACTGGGTCCTCATGCAGGCAGGCAGGCTCCAAGGGGAAAAAAAAAAAAAAAGAAGATCAATCTCTCTGCTTTTTTTCCCACCCCCCTTCGGTGGAGCCTGCCTTCCCAGGCTGCTGCCAGAGCCATGGAGAGAAGGACTTGGTCCCCATGCAGGCAGGCAGGCTCCAAGGGGGAAAAAAAAAAAAAAGAAAGATCAATCTCTCTGCTTTTTTTCCCACCCCCCTTCGGTGGAGCCTGCCTTCCCAGGCTGCTGCCAGGCTGCCTACGCCGACTGCCTGCACAGTTCCTGAGCCACACACAGCCCAGTGTTTCACTCTGTGGCTGTGGGGCAGCAAACTAAAACTCCATAAAGGTGTTTTAGTTTGCTACACCCCAAACTCATGTCAGACGCATTACACTGCTGAATGTGCTATACTGGCTGGAATTAATGCACAATATGACGTCAACATGTGAAAACACCAACAGCATTAAAGCAGTGCAAAAGCATTTAACCCACTTTAAAGTGTCATGCACACATGTACCTCATTTCATCTACACATACCCATAATCTACATCCAAAGGGTAAAACAGAAGCTGAAAATGGCCAGATGGCCAGCTAGGAAACTGCCACTTTTTAATACTCAAATTGAAATAGAATTTTATTCTCAGCGTACATATGCAACTCATGAAATTACAGTCAGACAGAACTCCATGACATGTTAGGTAAAGGAGTAGGCCCCTCCCATACAATCATAGCAAATTAGGGTTGGAAGGTACCTCAGGAGGTCATCTAATCCAAACCCCTGCTCAAAGCCAGACCATCCCCAACTAGATCATCCCAGCAAAGGCTTTATCGAGCCAGGTCTTAACCTCCAAGGATGGAGATTCCACTACCTCTCTGGGTAACTGTTCTTGTGCTCTACTACTCTCTCGTGAGAGAGTGTTCCGTAAAATCTAACCTAAAAGTCCCTTGCTAAAAGAGACACCATTGATCCTTGTTCTTTATCTGCCACCACTGAGAACAGTCTAACTCCATCCTCTTTGGAACCCCCTTTCAGGTAGTTGAAGGCTGCTATTAAATCCCCCCCCTCAGTCTTTTCCAGACTAAGTAAGCCCAGTTTCCTCAACCTCTTCTCATAACTCATGTGCCCCCAGCCTCCTAACCATTTTTATTGGCCTCCACTGGACTCTCTCCAACTTGTCCACATCCTTTCTGCAGTGGGGGGACCCAAAACTGAACACAGTACTCCAGATGTGTAGTCATCAGTGCCAAATATAGGGGAAGAATCACTTCCCTTAATCTGCTGGCAACTCTCCTACTAATACAGCCCAGGATGCCATTAGCTCCCTTTCCAGCAAGGGCACACTGTTAGAGATATATGGGAGCAAGAAATAAGAGACAGAGGCTGTGTGATGCACTGAAATGTCTGTGGTCCTGGAAAGGGTTCTGAACCCTTTCCCAAATGTGGCAGAAACATCTCCACAGTACTCCATCCATTTTGCCAATTACTATTACATTAAAGGTGCAATGGATCAGCTTCATAAGGCATGCTACTTAATGCTTAACCTGTCCCCTGGTTGTTAGAGCACTCTGGTGGAAAGTCAGAGAAATGCAGTTCAAAGCCTGTCTGTGTGAGGAGAGTCTAGAACTTAAATCTTATGCTCCCTGGGTGAGTGCCCTTAACCCAGTATTTCTCAGTCTTTTTGGA